GGAGCATGATCTTTTTTTTAATAGTCTAATAAATATAAAATCATTGCCAGTCTTATCAGTTGCAAGTGTGTATTTGTTGCAATAATGACAACAACATAATACATTTCACAGTAATGGCCTATAATAAAAACGATTTCCTTCAAAAATGATGGTTCGTCATCACGCTCATGACCCCGCGGCGAGCTGGGGGTGTGTCAGTGACACAGTGACACACCCCCAGCTCACCGCCCGCCGATTTTGCGGCAGCTCTTTCCCTCAAGAACGCTAACGAAAAAGCTCTATAATGGAAGGAAAACGTTTTTTACTTGACTTCTTTTCTAAAAAGAATATAATTCACAAGAAGAAAGAGGCTAGCAGCACCGAAGCTACAAGTGAAGCTGCTACTAGTACTACATCATCAGAAGAGCCGCCTAAAGACGTGGATAATGCTAGCTAACGTGCACGTTAGCTAGCAACGTTCCCCTGGCTAGCTCAAGTTCATCTTTCCCAGAGGTATGGACGGAGGAGATGTGGCGGAGGAAACAAGAGGCTACCCGTGGATAGACTGCAAAGCTGGGAAACTGGGCTGCTGTTCATCCATTTCGGATTTATCAGTCTTCAAAACGCAAGGTGTGTGTGTGTATGTATGTGTATGTGTATGTGTATGTGTGTGTGTGTGTGTGTGTGTGTGTGTGTGTGTGTGTGTGTGTGTGTGTGTGTGTGTGTGTGTGTGTGTGTGTGTGTGTGTGTGTGTGTGTGTGTGAAGCAGCGCTGTCTGCTTATTTGCAATGTAGGCTAGACCTAATCAGAATAATTTCAAGTCCAGCTTCAATGTTTGCATTAGTAGGCTATATTTTTCGTTTCGTTTATTTAATAAGTTAATTTCAGGACAACTTTGGGAATTTTGTTTGTTTGTTATGAGTTTTAAATGGATTTTGAAAGTGGAGATAGAGAGAAGCAGCGCTGTCTGCTTAGTTGTAGCTTATGCAATTTAGGCTTATAAATTGTTGTAATTGATGTGCCAGTGTGTCCATGGTTTTGAGTCTGTGTGTGTGTTGAGCGCAGCGCCGTCTGCTTTTTGAAGTACAGTAACTAAAGTAGGACTAAGCATACCGGTAGTTTCTGTGGACCTGTCTGCCCGTTTTGTGAGTGCAGTGCGCGCCTGCGCACTTGTGTGGCATTGTTTAGGATGACCTAATTAAAATAGCGTCCCCCCAGTAAAAAAATCCCCACTACACCACTGGTTAAAGTTACAGTAAATGACGAGATATTAGTGAATGAAATGAGATGTATAGATAAATAAAAATGAAGCACCATAATCGAATATGAAAAAAGAGGATTGTGTTGATTCAATAGCAGTGAATGACATGTGGTGCACAGAATCATTTACACCTGTTTTAATGATGTAGATTGCGATTGCTCTATGTTGCACTAATGCAGATTTCTTTATTTTTCAGGGACAACTAACATTGATCAACACTGTAAATGTACCAGTGTAATTTTCAAATGTTGTCTGTTCACCCTTATTTTAAATAGGTCATCAAAACAACAATTGACCCACACAGCATTATACAAGAACAGGAACACGAACAGCTGAACGGAACAAAAAGTGAATAAGAGTCGAGCAAAATAGGACATTTAAAAAGCCATTAGGGTTTACAAGTTAGGGCCCCAGTCGTCATAGCTTCGAGTGTACGCACAAATGAGGTGTGAGCATGCGTCAGCTTTCCAACTTTGATTTACACCCGTGTATTTGGCAACATGATAGTGCCGTGTGTGTGACTCTACTTTCTCATTAAAGGGGAGTGACCCAACGGTGATTCACACACAGCTTTGTTTTTTATGCCAATCAAAACATTTTTAACTGATGGGTATCGGTTGTGTTGAGATATTGATTCAGATTCCAGCTCGCATGCAACATCATTCTAACAAGCTGTTTATTTAAGATATTTACCTTGATTTATTTGCACTTGCTGCAGTTCAGCAAAGGGTGAGAGTTGCCTGCTTTTAGTAGACATCTATGCTCAGGAGGACAGCTCTGAAAAGACACTCAGTATGTCACGATAATATATCAGTCCAATCTGTTAAAATGATATATTGAAAATAAAAACTCAATGAGCTTCATTTCATTCAGGTTACTCGGGCAAAGGCTGCACAAACACTGGAGCATCCTTTCAAAGGGAAAGAGAACTATTGTGCTTTTTTGAGTTTTCCCTCTTCTGTGTTCTGTTTGTGTCTGAAAAGGCTAATCGCTGTGTTTCTCTCCAAACACGCCTCAATTCAACTCCTTTGTTTACTTCCATGACACAGAAATAATAATGTTTGATTGTTTATTTCAGTTACCTGTCTGTCAAGCTTCATGTGCACTCCTCTCTTTGAAAGAAATTGCTTTGATAAGGAAGCAGGCCAGACCACAACAATTTATTAAAAAAAGGATCACTTTGGTCTGGATCCAACTAACTGAAAGCACCATACTCTGATAACACACACACGGGAGCCCTCAAACACGTGTTCATGAAACCTTATTGAAAACAAAACCCAGCTTACTGTGGATTATGATTCTTAAAACAGATGGTTGTGGTCACAGTTTGTTAATGGACTTTTTTATTTTAACAGTTGGAGTGGAAGCAGAAATCTCCAAACTTGGCCGAATAACATCGCCTGAATAGCTGCATTGGTTTCTTTCCGTTAACTGTCAAGTGGGAAATAAGTATTTGTTGTGTTTCTCTTATTATCCTAAGATACTGATGCTGTGAAAAAGAGACATGAAGGACAGACCATCTATTTCTATTTTGTCTTTAGAAAGGGGCCGGTCATATAAGATTATTTTCTTCTCCCTGCTCAATGGGGTGTTAATAGAGACATGATTTGTTAACAATTATTATACATTAAGTTTTGGGAACGGTAAAAATAACAATGAAATGAAGCTACCTGAGAAAATGTGTTTTCTTTCCTTTTTTACAATTGATATCACCTGAACTATTTTATTTTAAACAATCCTATACTTTCTCAAGCGTTCTCAAATGTTAACGGATCAGTTTTCGTGTTCAAAAAGCAGGAAGTGAAATCATGCCGAGGGACAGATGCATTAGATGCCGTGTATTTGTAAATTGCATTACATCCAAAAGGTAATTGGTCAGAGAGACTAAGAACAGCATACTTTTTTTCTGTTTAGAACTCAATTTGGGATTTCAAATTGGATTGGCACCGGGGTCGACTTCCTGCTCGGGATGGTGCAACGTGCGTGCGGTAAGAAATGCCCTCGAGTGAATGATGCGTCCTCCCTCATCTCATAAATCTCTGCAGCAGACCAACAGGAACCCTGCAGGCATATTAACAGCAAACAGACAGCAGAACAATGAGTTGTAATCTCACTTTATTTAATAACCTAGACCCCCCCCCCCCCCCCCCCCACCACCACCACCACCAAGGGTTATTGCATAAAAAGAAATAGTACAAAAATCAGCCACTCAGCGAAATGAGGAAAATAAACGTACAAACTGCGTGTCTCCTCGTCCAAAGCTGTACCACATTTGATTGGATATTACACACATGTTTAACACTGACATGGCTCTTGTTTCAAAGTGAACAACATATATGGTTTATTAGTGACATTTAAAAAGAATAGACGAGATAATGCACCGTACATTCAAAGCAAGTGGTTAACAAAGAGAACATAATCAATATAAATAACACTGGATACAAGTACACTGTATATATAAATCAGGATTGAAAGGTCAATGCATAGCAAGGCTCCTTAGTACCACCGCTGTACTGCTAACGTACACTTCTTTGCTTTAAATGGAGAATTGCACTGAGCAGAGGGGCGTCACACTTTAATTGTACTGTGACGCAAAAACAGGAACGTTATAGGAGCTCGAGAGGAAGACTGAATTAAATCGCTTTGTTCCGAGCGTGATCAATCGAACTTTGTTGACTTTTCCTCACAAGTGTGCTCACGACTTGAGTTCATACGCTGTTGTGCAGTAACAGAAGTGTTTACGATGTGGCTTCATAAATCATCTGGTACTCGGTTTTATGATTTATGAAGCGCCATCGCTTGGAGCAGCCTTAAGTGACACGAGTAGCTGTCGATGGATGCGATGTCAATCTTTGGGTATTTCACGATTCAAAACAAAAAATATTGATTCGGTTCATACGGTAGAGGATTAGGGCCACATGTGACATTTATTTTGAGAGCTGACAAAAGTGCATTTTTCTCCAAACTCCAAAAAGATATTCACTTTTGTTCAGATCTCAAAGAAATGTCACATGTAGCATTCATCAAAATCGATTCATTCCAGTTCTCCTAACGCAGAGTAATTTTGATTTAGTGTGATCACAAGAATGAATGCTGGAGGAAGTGAATACTGAGGCTACTAAAAACACTCTAATGCGGAACAACCCAAGGTTATCTTCTTGGAAAAAAGTGACTGCTGTGGAGCGGGATGAATGCGAAGATCTGTTTTCTGCAAATGTGCTGTGAAGATTCCTTCTGTAAAGTGGAAGGGACTTGAAAATGAGGAACACATGATGAGGCCTGAGGCTGAGGATGAGCGTGCGTAATTGTTGACCGTCACATAAAATCAGTGTCTCCAAAAATGATGTGTGTGTGGGGTAGATGAGCACCTAAATATTTACTGTGGCTGTCATGTCTCAAATATGGCGGACAGCTGTGAAGATGAGAGGGCTAATGTGACAAAAGGAGTGAGTCTTTTAGCTGCCATGACAATTACATTGAGTGGAAAGGCAGCTGTGAGGATTGATGATGTAGTGGCAGGAAGCGCAAGATCAATGCAGAATAGTTTTGTACAAGAGAAAATACTCTGGGTGTTGATGCAGTGTTATTCTGAGGCACAGTTATCATCCTGCCGCGAGGAAATCTGGCAACACGTCATTTCCTATAATTGTTCGTGATACAATCATTCTGTTTTTAAAAACAATAACTCAGGAGTGAGTCACATCTTGACAAAAAGAAAAATCCAGTGATAAACAATGACTACACGGAGAAAAACAACTCATATCTATATATGTGGAATCACATTCAGATGAAGCACACACATTAGCATCTACGTCTGCTTTTAAATAGATGATCCCAAATTGTGCTTATTGTTACATAAGATTTGTGTGCAGATTTCCCTTTACATGATTAGTGTCAAATCAAACATGCGGAGCAGCCTGCAAACGAGTGAGTCAATCAAAAAGGGAATAACATGACAATACGAGTGGGAAATGCAGTCGTATCCCGGAGCCTCAAAGGAGCTCTATAAAAAGTAGTCCCAACTATAAATTACAACCGTGTCAATCACCACTTAATATGCGCTCAATCTCCTCCAGTCTCTTCAAGGCGGCTGCTCTTTTCCCCTCTATATCTGAAATCTCTTTCGTGGACTTACCCTTAGTCCGCTTGTCAGACTGGCTACTGTCCAGAGACTCTGATTGGTCGACGCCTACACCTCCGAGGCGTTCTGTGGAGGATTTCCGCACATTCTTCTCATTCCCAGCCCCCTTCCCTACAGCATCAGCACCCCTCCCTTCCTCCTCACCCTCAGACACTTCCTCCTCCCTGTCCTCAACTCCCTTAAGGGGCTTTTCCTCCTGAGCAGACGTGGTTTCTCCCCGTGCTGTAAGTGGCTGCCCTGCGGAGCTCATGGCGGCCATCTTACTGCGGACAATACTCAAGTGGCGTTTCACATACTCCTCGTTCGGTGCCAGAGCGAGCGTTTCCTCCAGGCAGCGTTCGGCACGCGGGAGGTCTCGCTCCTCGAAGTACACGACACACAAGTTGTGTTTGCCTTGCACGTTGGTGGGATCCACGCTTAGAATTCTCTCGAAGCAGGCTTTGGCGCCATTTGTGTCCTTCTTGTGGTTCATGAGGATGTCCCCCTTCAGGATGAGACCCTTGATGTGTTCAGGGTGGTGGCGCAGCAGCTCGTCCAACGCTGGCAGCGCGTCTATCTCTCGTTTGGACTGAGAGTAAAGCAACGCCAGGTTAAACAGGGCGCTGCGGAAGCCGGCCTGCAAACTAATCGCTCTCTTCATCCACCGCTCAGCTGCCACGTTTTCGTTGGCGTCCATGGCCAGCATGCCGAGGTTGAAGTAGCCGTTGGCGTCTTCGGGCTCTTCTTCCACGTAGATCAGGAAGCGACGGTTCGCCTCAGGCCAGAACTTTGGCTCACCTGCCACAAAAAGCAGAGACATAATGATAAGGTGGCATTCATTAACAGAGATGGCAAAAGTACACACATCCTTTACTCAAGTAAAAATACTCTGGTAAAAGTAGAAGTACTGACTAAACTTCTTTACTCAAGTCAAAGTAAAGAGGCTTTGAAATGTACTTCAGTAAAAAGTTCCCATAACTAGCAGCTGTTTTAAAGAGTACCTGACCTCCCTTTATATTAATAGAACAATAATGTCATTGTTAGCTAATGAATGTTTCCATGCTGAACAACGGCAACATGACAACGTTTCCATTGGTCCCTCTTCTTTAGAGAAGACCAGGAAATGATGGATACACGGATCGTGTTCAAATCAATAGGCACGCAATGACTCTAAATAATAATGATCACGCATCAAACACACATTCAGACTAAAGGAACCAGCTGTTTGGAAAATGAGAGAAGTAGAAAGTACAGGTATTTGAGTTCAACATGTAAGAAGTAGAAAGTACAGGTATTTGAGTTCAACATGTAAGAAGTAGAAAGTACAGGTATTTGTGTTCAACATGTGAGAAGTAGAAAGTACAGGTATTTGTGTTCAACATGTGAGAAGTAGAAAGTACAAGTATTTGAGTTCAACATGTAAGAAGTAGAAAGTACAGGTATTTGAGTTCAACATGTGAGAAGTAGAAAGTACAGGTATTTGTGTTCAACATGTGAGAAGTAGAAAGTACAGGTATTTGTGTTCAACATGTAAGAAGTATAAAGTACAGGTATTTGAGTTCAACATGTAAGAAGTAGAAAGTACAGGTATTTGAGTTCAACATGTAAGAAGTAGAAAGTACAGGTATTTGTGTTCAACATGTAAGAAGTAGAAAGTACAGGTATTTGAGTTCAACATGTGAGAAGTAGAAAGTACAGGTATTTGAGTTCAACATGTAAGAAGTAGAAAGTACAGGTATTTGTGTTCAACATGTAAGAAGTAGAAAGTTCAGGTATTTGAGTTCAACATGTAAGAAGTAGAAAGTACAGGTATTTGGGTTCAACATGTAAGAAGTAGAAAGTACAGGTATTTGAGTTCAACATGTAAGAAGTAGAAAGTACAGGTATTTGAGTTCAACATGTAAGAAGTAGAAAGTACAGGTATTTGTGTTCAACATGTAAGAAGTAGAAAGTACAGGTATTTGAGTTCAACATGTAAGAAGTAGAAAGTACAGGTATTTGGGTTCAACATGTAAGAAGTAGAAAGTACAGGTATTTGTGTTCAACATGTAAGAAGTAGAAAGTACAGGTATTTGAGTTCAACATGTGAGAAGTAGAAAGTACAGGTATTTGAGTTCAACATGTAAGAAGTAGAAAGTACAGGTATTTGAGTTCAACATGTAAGAAGTAGAAAGTACAGGTATTTGGGTTCAACATGTGAGAAGTAGAAAGTACAGGTATTTGTGTTCAACATGTGAGATGTAGAAAGTACAGGTATTTGAGTTCAACATGTGAGAAGTAGAAAGTACAGGTATTTGTGTTCAACATGTAAGAAGTAGAAAGTACAGGTATTTGAGTTCAACATGTAAGAAGTAGAAAGTACAGGTATTTGAGTTCAACATGTAAGAAGTAGAAAGTACAGGTATTTGAGTTCAACATGTAAGAAGTAGAAAGTACAGGTATTTGAGTTCAACATGTAAGAAGTAGAAAGTACAGGTATTTGAGTTCAACATGTAAGAAGTAGAAAGTACAGGTATTTGGGTTCAACATGTGAGAAGTAGAAAGTACAGGTATTTGGGTTCAACATGTAAGAAGTCAAAGTAAAAAGTCGTCAGAAAAATAAGTAGTGGAGTAAAGTACTGATACCAGAAAAATGTACTTAAGTGCAGTAACGAACTACTTCCCACCTCTGTTAATTAACTAGGTAATCCGCTAGTTAAATTAAACTATAAAGTCTACAGAATTTTAAAAGGCAGTGTGTTATATAGGTTTCTGTGCATGTAAATGGTCTGCAAAAGGCTAAAATACCCAAAGTTCCTTCCAGAGGGAGCTTCTCTCCCACACACTCCCCCCCCCTGCCTGAAACATCTCCATTGGACTCCTTTGTTTTCTTCCGTGACATAACGACATCACTGTGTAGCTCTTCTATTGGCTAGCGCTCAAACACATTGTTCTTGACATCTCAAAGTGGTTGACCAATCACAACAGAGCCGGCCAGCTAACCAATCAGAGCAGACTGGGCTCTGGTTTCAGACAGAGGGTGAAAGGAGGTGCTGCAGCACAGACAGTATGAGGAAAATAAAGAGCTTTTTGAACATTAAAGCATGGAGACATGTCCCAGTAGGGCTGCTCGATTATTTGGGTCAATAATTGTATAATAATAACAATTTGTATAATTGCGATTATTAAAATGCGATTATTCATTGACTTTGAAAACATGCATTTATTGGAGAAAACTATTTTGAACAGTATGTTTTTAACAGTTGATTACACTGAACTTTAAATATAATTCAACTGAAAAACCCCAAAAAACAAAAAAGTAATAATAATAATAAAAAAATAATCGTTTTATTTCGATTACGTTGTTTTCGTAATCGTTGCAAGCCATAATCGTAATCGCGATTAAAATATGATTAATTGAGCAGCCCTATGTCCCAGTAGAGCAGGGGTGGGGAACCTTTTTCGTCTCAAGGGCCATTTCAATTTTTCCAACATCCTCCGAGGGCCGTACAAATTATTGACCTCTGCTTAAAAATACTAAAATCACAGTCCATTCATTTCACCTTTCTTTCATGCTGTGCAAAGAAAACGCAACCTCTTAATCCAGATATCTCACCATGACTCACGCACGGCACGTGCACGGTGTGGCATGACCACCAAAACAGAAAGATATGGACACAAGATGTGTGCAAATGTATTTAGTTTCCTATCCATGTGAACATGATTTAAGTGGGGGGGGGGGGACCTAACCTCCTCTAGGGGGGTCCGGGGGCATGCTCCCCCAGGAAGATTTTTTTTTAAATGTTGAAGTTAAAAGCATCAATCTGGTGCACTTTGAGAGCAACATTAGGAGATCTATGGAAACATCTCTCAACACCCATATGAAACAGATCTGTAAGCAGATTTTCTTTTTCTTTATGAATATTGTACAAATCACTCTCCTTTCAAACTGTATTCTTGTTTATTAATAACAACTTTTTTTACTGTCATAGTATTTTATACCTGTTTACTTTATTCTCTTATTTTTTTATAACTATAATGATCATATAAAGATGTGCCTTTACCTCACTGGTTGTAGAAAAAGCTTCTCATATTCGTTAATAATAACGAACAATAACAACAAAGTTATTGACTGTATGATCAGTATGACAGATGAACAGATCGCCACTGGGCTTTCAACTAAAGACACAGCCACGCAAAAACTGCGGCATGTGTACGGCTCCTTATGGGTACTGCAATTTGTGGAAGTGGCGGAGCCGCCGGAGCGGTGTTCTGGTGCTCTCCGTCAGAACTGCACCCCTGTCAGACGAGACATATACCACGTGATGACACGTTAGGCTCGTGATGTGTTCAAGGACCCTGACCTGCCAGGAAAAACAGGCACTCGCTTGTTTAATTTTTTTCTTTTTTGCGTGTGTTTATAAATTACCTCGAGGGCCGTAGCAAAAGGTCTCGCAGGCCGTATACAGCCCGGGGGCCGGAGGTTCCCCACCCCTGCAGTAGAGACACTAAATACTGATATACACCTGAAAATTAGCATAACATTCATTTCATTTCATTTCAAACCTTTATTTAATCAGATTGGTCCCTTGAGATCACAGATCTCTTTTTCAAGGGAGACCTGCAGCATATAGGTTCCACATGAAACATAAAACAATAAAGGACATTATACATTATATTTACAGGATACATTTACATAGTTATAGACATTTACAAGTGGCAATAGTATCAACGAGCATTTCATTTAGCCTAGCTTTAAAAACATGCAGAGGAATGAGATTGCTCAGTTTCAATTCTTGCTGAAGATTGTTCCAAGCAAGTGGAGCTGCACATAAAAGCTGTCGTACCTAAGACAGTCCTTGCTCTTGGCACATCTAACAATACTACATCATGCCATCTCAGACAATAGCTGCTTGCAACTCTCTGTGTTATCAGAGAGCAGATATAATATGGGAGTTTACCCAACAAAGCTTTATAAATAAACGTGTACCAATGACTGAGCCTCCGTACAGTAAGTGATGGCAGACCTGCCTTGGCATACAGGGTACAGTCATGTGTAACAGGGTTTCCGTTAGCCGGTAATTACCGGTTTTTAGCTGGTACAATTTAATAAAAACCGGTAAATTCAAAACCTGCCGGTCAAAATGTCCGATGCTCCGATCGATCGGCCGTCGATCATTATCGGCCGATATTCACTCTTAATAGTTTGATCTGTGCTCTCTATAAAGGCCGATCAGGAGAGCTGGATCTGATCGATATGGACATAAACGCGAGTGAAGTGTAACCGGACAGAAGAGAGAGATCAGATCAGCTGCTCCATAATCACCCGAAGCTCCGCCCACTGTTTAGCGAGCTGCATGAGAAACTGACGGGCTGTCAGGAGAGAAGGAGAGGGGAAAGGAGAGCATCCGTTTCTCCCGTGTTATTATTCAAAGTTAATTTAAACTTTTGAATAATGTACTTCATCTACTACAAGTAGTTTATTTGAATGTAATAATTATGGTGTTTGTTGTTTGCGGAATCATTTATTGAAAAATTAATCTGAATTTTTCTGATCCGTTACGATTATAAACTGAAGCAATATAAAAACGATCCCCATTAACTGAGTTTTAAACATCAGCATATCCGGTCCTAATCCGTAATTACCTGCTAACGGTAACTCTGCTACACAATTCTTATTATTATTATTGAAACATGACCGGTAAGTTTCAAATTTGTCCGGTCAAATTAATTCTGTCCGGACATTTGACCGGCGAGAAAAAATCCTAGCGGAAACCCTGATGTGTAAGTGCTTTACCATTTGTGACAAATCTCAGTGCACTGTGATAGGCGGCATCTAACTTGTTCAGGCAATAGGCAGGTGCATTCATATAGATCAAATCACCATAGTCCAGCACAGGTCAAAGGTCACAGAGCCTTTTCTTGGCCTCAAGTGAGAAACAGGACTTGTTTCTGAAACAGAAACCTAGTCTAACCCTCAGCTTTTTAAGCAGGTTATTGACATGAAGTTTAAAAGTAAGACAATCATCAAGCCAGATACCAAGGTATTTATAACAGGTAACCACTTCAAGTACTTGTCCTTGCATAGTAACAATATCTAAAACAGGCTCTGGTGTCTTTTTAGCTTTTGAAAACAGCATTACCTTGGTTTTATCAACATTTAAAAGAAGCTTAAGTTCAGAGAGCTGAGTCTGAATAATGTTAAAAACAGCCTGTAATTTAACACCAGCCTCCTTAATGGAGGGACCTGCACAGTACATCACAGTATCGTCAGCATACAAATGTAAAGTAGCTTCATCAACATTTTCACCTAAACTGTTGATATATATGGAGAATAAAAGTGGACCTAAAACAGAACCTTGAGGAACACCATTAGCAAAGTTTAACCACTCAGAAGACAGCCCATCAAAGTGAACACATTGGAACATGTCCTCTTTAAGTCTTGGTTACGGGTAATACAAGTTAACAATCTTACAAATGAGAGAGTTTGTGCCAACACATGCAAGAGAATGTCTGACGATGCATCAACACCTAATTAAACTGTCAATAAAACATGTCAAAAGGATTGTTATAGAAAGTTCCTGTTAATTACCAGCTCAGCCACAAGAATTTTCATTCCATTGATGGAAAGGCGATGATATAACATTGACACCGGCTCTGAAATCCTATCAGAGGTCGACGGATTCACACAGTCACGCTAAGGTGAGTGTTACGCAAAGGAACCCAATATAAACATACATTTGTAATTTCATGATTTCCTTTTGTCACAACATCAACAATGCATGACTTGATAGAAACTTGGCCAGGAACTCAAGCTTTGCCACAGAAAAGCCGCCACCTATTCAGAACCTGGTTACACCCTCAAGGTGACATCAGGTTTTTTTTTTGTTATCATACCAGATGTGTTGAAAGATGTCTTTACCCTTAAGGCCCGGACACACCAAGCCGATTTTGGCCATCGATGGGCGTCAACACGCCCTACTCAGATTGGTGTGTCCCGCACCGTCGTGTGTTTTCAGCCGTGCCGACACCTTTTCGGCCGAAAACCCACCGATTCGACAGTCGGCCAAAGGCTGTCGGCAAAATCAATCACTCTGATTGGCTTTTCAGCTTAGCGAATCAGTGCATGAGAAGCGAAACGGAAGTGAGGGACCCAAACAAACGATTCAGAAGGCAAATCTGAGATTTCATTGAACTCCAGCTCTCGACTCAGATTCGGGAAAGCCCCGTGAGCTTCTCGCTGTTGAGTGAAAATGGAACGCACACGCTATTTGTTGTTTGTTTACATCACGCAGTCTGTTCTTCTTCTCTCGGTGTATCACGCAGTCTGTTTAGGGACCCCAGCATTCAGAAATATTCAAATACACAATTCTTGAACTGCTGAAAATAACACATTTAAACTGCATGCAAAAACTGAATGGGATTGGCATAAAGCACCAGATATCGAAAGTTTAACGGACCCCTGTGAAGATAGCCATGCCAATTATCCCCCCCTTAAAATGTTGCCCAATTTTGGACTAGCACCAGTGCCAATGGATTGTCTTTTTTAGTCATTTAAACATATCATCCAATCACTGCCTCTTCAAGCCAGAAGGCCTGCACAATTTGTTTGTATCATTTTTAGTGATACTGCAATTTGCAAAGTAGTCATAATTGTCATTAAAAAACATATTAAATGACTATTATCTGATGTTTTGAGGAATATCTGTACCAAACAATTGTGTTCATTAAAGCTCCACAGTACTCAATTACTGTATATAGACTATTCTGCACAGTTTCTATCATATTCTGTTTCTATTATATTCGATTTTATTTTATTTACTTGCACTATTTTATCTGTGTATTGTGTTGCTCTGTGGGAGGAGCCTGCGACCTAAGATTTTCATTGTCATAATTACACTGTAGCTATGACACGTAAAAAGCCTTGAAACTTGAAACACCTATTTAGCCTTTAACAAGTATTGTGTTTTTTGCAATTCGAATGATAAACACAATACTTGTTAAAGGCTAAATAGGTGTTTCAAGTTTCAAGGCTTTTTATGTGTCATGATAAACAGGCACTCGCTTGTTTAATTTTTTTGCGGTCTAGATTTCTTTAATTTTTTTCTTTTTTGCGTATGTTTATAAATTACCTCTGCAGTAGAGACACTAAATACTGATATACACCTGAAAATTCATTTTCAATGAATTGTGCAACCCTAAGAGACAGTGAAGTCGTGCAGAGAAGACAATCCCACGAGTCTCACGGGGTTAACTCCGTGCAGGCCATGCTTGACATTACCAACTTCTTTGCCTCCATCCGGAAACTGGACAAGATCCAAACTAATCAATCACAAACGACATCACTCACCAGACTCTTGCATCAGAAGTGCTGAGTTGAAGAGTGCCAGTTTGTGGCGTGGGTTCAGCTCGAGTGCGTGATTGAAGTTCTTCAGAGCTTCCGATGGGTCTTTCATCTCGATGTTGACGATGGCCAGGTTGTACCACAGGTCAGCGTTGGTGCGATCCAGCTCCAAGGCTCGGAGGTAGGCGTCCCGCGCTTCGCTCAGCTTGTTCATCTTCAAAAGAAGCTCTCCTCTGAGATTAACGAAAAGACAATAAATTAACAGCACACGAAAAGGAATCAAAACAGTGTGGGAATTCTATATTTTACATAATGGACAATTCACAGGGAAATATTCAATGTATATTTGTCCTCATTTTGCTGTATGTGGGTGTCCATTTGGTTATTGTTACAAATTGGATTGTAGGGACCATATGCCAAAAACAATCTGAAATAAAAAAGACTACCTTAATGTGATGTGTGTGTTATTTAAATTAAACATAAAAACTGAACTGTGAAATAACACGTAGACACAAGTAGTGACTGAACATGTTTCAAGCTCAACTACAATAGGTACATTTGAACCCTTTATAGGGCACTATTAGGTTAACCCTAACCCGTTTCAGGCCTCTGCTGATTGGTCGAATTCCCCAATGTGGCGTAGAGTGATCTTCGCTGATTGGCTGGGAGAAAACCACATGCTTGTCGACCTCGCGGAAGTTACCAAATATGGTTCCTCGCTAGAGATGGGTACCGAGCCCCCGTATTAAACGGGCCCTGGGGCGGAATTATTAAAGACCGTGGTACTGGTAAGCTCCGACGTTATCGGTCTTTTTATCGGTACTGGAGACATCTAAAAAATATGTCACATGTATTATTGCTACACAAACATTATATCGCAGTTTTATTGTCGCCAACTAATAAGCTATAATAATATTCTAATATGCAATAAGACTGCAAAATGCATCTGATTATTTTTTGCATTTTCGATCTTTCCAATCCATGGATCGATAAGCGGTATCGATAAAAGTAGTAGTACCGTTAAAACCTTAACGATACCCATCCCTATTCCTCGCCCGATAAATCTAATCTTGGAGTCCTTTTTATCAAGATGAACATCACTTTAGTCAAACTAGGACATAACAGCCAACAGAACCTTACAAATGACCCGATGTAGGTACAAATGCTACATAAGCTATCAGCTGTCAACTCTCAGTTCAGGGATGGAGGCCAATTCAAACAAACCTGAAAGGAAACGTTTTGAGTATGAATGGTAATGCGTGTCAATGTCAACATTTAAGGTATTGAATCCCAGTTCCCCGTGGGAAGAATAACGGATGTTAATTCAAGCTCAAAGACTGAGAAAGTGAAAACTCTTGCCTGCTGATGTAGGCTTGTTTGAAGTCTGGCCTCATGCTGATGGCCTGTCGGTAGAGCTGGTCGGCCTCTTCCAACCTCGATTCGTTTGCCCGTATCAGGTTAGCAAGGTTTATGTAAACGTTGAGATGGTTAGGGGCCACACGAGTCGCGTACTTCTTACCTGGAATAACCTGAGAATGGAGAGAAAATATGTGAATGATGGATCCAAGGAGGTATGGAAAAGCCTGAGTGGTGAATAAAGAGGTTTTTAACATGTGTAGGGATAGATAGATAGATAGAGGCATATATGGATAGAAAGATGGATAGATATATAGATAGAGGGATATATGGATAGATAGATGGATACTGTAGATCAGGGGTGCCCAACCTTTTTTGAACCGAGAGCTACTTTTAAAGTTGCCAGTCTGCCGAGATCTACCAGTCCAAATAGAGAGGCGTAGCCATTACTGATAGCCTACTACCAGGTAAATACACACTTCTACTTGTATAAAACTGACCTTTGTACGATTAATACTTCATAAAATACTGCAGATCCTTTATCTCACCTCTTTCTAATCTACACACATACAAGTATTTAACTGAAGTTACACAACAGTGTTGTTGATACAGAGTTGGAGTTTATTCACACGTCACTACAGTGGGTAATGTTTTCAAGAAACATTGAACAGTGCTGCCACATATGACACAGGGAAAAAGAAAAGACTCTGAACCCTTTCTTTGCCATTATATAAAAATAGTGTTGCTACAAAAGTATAAATTAGGCTTACTAATAAGACAACTCAGATCTGAAGCTACACAATAAAAAAGACAACATTAATAGAATCAAACCCTTTTTTTGTTGCATTTTAGTAGATTATAAAAAGAAATGCCTTTAAAATAGGATGCAAGCAACACTAGTTTCTTAACCTGAATTGATAATAGATTATAATCAATTTAAGTTTGCATTCTTATACCATTTTGTACAATAATTATAATGAATAAGTTCAAACAAACTCAAACTTACAGCTGATTAATAACGGTATATAACTTGAGTTTTTATCATATCAAAAACCTGTTGAAAATGCTACTGTTATTTTTATTACGCATCGGCAGCCTCCAGGAATGCTTCTTTCACAACTTCGCCGTCTTTGAAAGACTTCATGTGTTTGACAAGAACGTGACTGACACGATAAGATGCTCTGGTAGCAGCCTTGCTCTTGTTGTTGGGCCTGGTGAAAATGGACTGCTGTGCATTTAGCTGTCCTTTCAGGCCCCTCCCCTTTTGGAGCGTAGGGCAGAATTAGGAGGGAATTCCGTCTCGTAGCGTTTGTGCACTGTTTTGAAATGCCGCTCCTAAATTACCCTTCTTCGATAAAGCCACGCTCGCATTGCAGATGAGACAGATGGACTTTGAATTGGAATAGATACACAAATAATCATCCTCCCACTCGGAGTGAAAATTATATATGTTTTGCTTCTGCCATAATTGTGGTCTTGTGTGTGTGCGGACTGTCACTCCTGGTGTTGACACGGACAACGTTAGCGAACTAGTGCACTGCCCACTGCCCACCAGCCACGCCCCGACACATGGGGTCACGCCGGCCAATCACAAAGCTTTGATGCGTTCAAGTGCATTATTCTGGCACAGGAAGATTATGTTATAGGACATTAACGATAAAACTGAATATTGTTGTTCTATTTTTAGACACATCTCGCGATCGACTGGGAATCTCCCCGCGATCGACCGGTCGATCGCGATCGACTGGTTGGGCACCCTTGCTGTAAATGGATAGATAGATAGATGGATGGATGGATGGATGGATTGATGGATAGAGGGATAGATAGGTGGATAGATAGATGGATAGGTAGGTAGGTAGGTAGATGGATAGATAGATGGATGGATGGATGGATGGATGGATGGATTGATGGATAGAGGGATAGATAGGTAGGTAGGTAGATGGATAGATAGATGGATAGGTACTTTATTGATCCCAATTTGGGAAATGTTTGCGTTGCAGCAGCATAAAAAACAAGGCAATGTACATAAGAGAAATTAAGAAATTAGAAATAAACAGTCCAAAATATTTCCGAAAAATAAATAAAATAGCATAAAAGTAAAAATATGTGGAAATACACATTTCCAGTAACAAATATAATGCAGGATATTATTGTGCAAGGATACCTGTGGCATGAGGGATTTGGCAACCAAGTACGCATCTTCTGCCTCTCTGGACTTGTTCAGGTTCTTGTAGGTTCTTCCAACATTCATGTGAGCACCAATGTCATCTGCAGAAACATTGAACTGAGCATCAGAAAGCAGAGAACAGAGCAAAACAGTCACGCTTAAAGAGGTCATGTTGTGCTAATGTTACGGTTCATATTTGTATTTTGTGCCTCAAGGCAAGGCAAGTTTATTTATAGCAACTTTCAACACAAGGCAATTCAAAGTGCTTTACAAAAATGAAAGACAAAAATTGATTTATTTTTCTCATACTGCCTTTTTAGCACCTCATTTCACCCTCTAGCTACATCCCAAGTCTCTTTAGTTGCACCATGTTTTCCTCACTTGCGTGTTTTCCAAGAAGAAGCTTGCGTCTATTTATTCATTTTATGTTAAAACCAAATTGAGAAAGAGGTAATGTAGCAATATTTATTCTTCAGTGTTTTCCAGGTTACACCCACCTTAGCATGACTGTGGGAACCTGTCCCATATGATTTCAGCCCAGGTGTCAACGCTTTTCCATAAATCACTTTTCCATAAATCAAAAATGGTTATAACTGATGTTCAACCATTTGACAGTGTTCTCTTGGAAATGATTGATCCATTCAGGAATGTGTTCACTTTATAGTATTGCAAGAAACTGCTAAAACTTGCCAAAGTTTTATGAATTTATCTCATTTTCAATATTCAGTGGGATTTAAAACACAGCATTGTCCGTCTGTTAAGAAATGCTCAATGTGGATTACCATCACATATAGGACATTACACATCCTGTACAATGTTATATGATTGTTTCTTTCTATAGTCCATTGTTTACACTCAGCAAAGTAAGTAAGCTGCAGCAGCACTATAGACTGTGTAATCCAGTATCTGCCAGTAAAGATTTCTTTTAGAAATACTTTTTCTTCTCAAGGTTCAAACTCAAACTCCTACTTATGCCATGTTCACTTTTCTGAAAGGCATCCAAGTGCCCTTTTGCAATTACGGAGGAAATCAGATTAAGGCTCTAAACAAAAGACAGACTCTCCCTAAACCTCCACTCTAGGTTTTTAAATGGCTCTGGCTGAGCTGGTGTTTAATAGGAACTGTATTTTACATTCTTTTTGACATGTTTTATAGACGGTTAAACTAGATGTTTATGCATTGTCAGACCTTCCATTGCATGTTTTGGCATGAAACTCTCATTTGTAACATTGAATACTTATATTTCCCGTAACCAAGACTTAAAGGAGTCATATTCTGCTCATGTTCAGGGTCATATATGTATGTAGTGTCTCCACTGGGACATGTCTCCATGCTTTGATGTTCAAAAAGCTCTTTATTTGTCTCATACTGCCTGTGCTGCAGCACCTCTTTTCACCCTCTGTCTGAAACCAGAGCCCAGTCTGCTCTGATTGGTTAGCTGGCCCGGCTCTGTTGTGATTGGTCAACCGCTTAGAGATGTCCCGCCCCTTAGCCTATCATGTACAATGTGTTGGAGCGCTAGCCAATAGAAGTGCGAGTGCTATATAGTGATGTCACTGTGTTACGGAAGTAAACAAACGAGACCAATGGAGGCAAGTGTTTTGGAGAGAAACTTCCTCTGGAGGGAAAACAGGGATTTTAGTCTTTGCAGATAATTTACATGCACAAAAACCTTTTTAACACACTACAGGAAAGGGATGACCGCACAAAGCATAACAGGCTCTCTTTAAAATGTTTTAGCTTCATTAGTTTTGAGAAGTAACAAGCCCCTTATGCAACCAACTGCATTGTCAGAAGCTATTAGTGACACTGCCTTTCTTAGCCTGTTTCGAGAGTGTAATCACAATATTCAGTTTGCTGGGATCAAATCCTAAACTAAAAGAGGGGGGAAAGAAATCAAAACACGTGGGTTTGCTGTCCTGGCTCCAAAATGGTGGAATGAGCTCCCCATTGACATCAGGACAGCAGAAAGCTTACACATCTTCCGGCGCAGACTGAAAACTCATCTCTTTCGACTCCACTTCGAGCGATAGAATTATTAACAAAGCACTTATATACTAATAAAGGACTGGCTTATCTAAAGCCAGTTGAGTAGCACTTGAAATATTTGGCTCTATGAAACCTGATGTACTATATGATTCTGTTTTCCTCTAGTTTGTATCTTCCTGGTCGAATGTACTTATTGTAAGTCGCTTTGGATAACAGGGTCAGCTAAATGCAATGTAATGTACTTAGCAATACCACATCCCTGCAGGCAGTTACAATCTGTCATTAACTTACGTAAACTTCCCTGTGTTCCAGTTGACTGAGCAATGTTATTTTTACAGCTACGCATTAAGTGTAACTGACAGATGCCTCTACTTGCATGAAAACCACCATAACGAAAACATGAAAACCTCATTGATAAAACAGCCAAAGTTTAAATCAACATTAGCGCAGGACTATTGCCTCACATGTGTTTTTGGTTGAGCTCCTCTGTGATTGCCCGGTTTTCATTTATTTAAAAAGTATTGGAATTACAAGTTATAAACAGACAGTAAAAACAGAATGATGTAACATTATAGGCCCACTGTGGGTTTACACTGAAAACAAAACACTACGAGAGATTTCACAATATCTTTTAACCGGCGAAAAACATCCTCATAAATCAAATCGAACAAGATCGGCCGATGTGTCGTACCATCGTTTCCCTCATCAATGTCAACACAATATCATGATTTATGAATATCAGATGTATTTGTCTTACCTGGCTGGACGCGTGTAGCCTGGAGAAAATACCGCAGAGCCGTGTCGTAATTGTTTTGGTTTTCCAGAGCGTGGCCAACGTTATTCCAAAGCTTGGCGTTGTTCTTGTTGACCTGAAAGTGAAGGTAATTCAACAAACACGATAATAGCCTTGTTTTGGTTCATCTGTTCGAACACAACTTTGAATCACCTAGTTATTAAAGGGCCTTTTAAACAGGCCAACATTAGCATTCATTGTCCTTTCCGTCTTACCTTCAGGGCCGAAGTGAACAGAGTGTACTCAGACTCCCAGTCCCAATTCCTCTTAAACGTTTTCACTGCATGTGTGGCCAAAAGCACCCCGATTACCAACCAGGAAATCTTCTTTAAGTACCTACAAAATAACATATAAAGACTTTCAAATGATATTGCTTTGATCAAAGACTTTCAATTGCAAACATTTTAAATTGGCGCTTATTATTTTGAGAGTGGTTCAGGGGTGCGCTGTGTTCTTTATATTAGTAGACATGAATGTAATAAGATTGGCAGTATTGTTGCACAATATATCCTTTCATCATCGATGCAGAAATGTGTGCATGTGCAATATCAATGCTACGACAGTTTTCCTGCATGATGTCAAATGAAAATAATTATTGTCTTATCTTCAAAAAAGTCTGTATGATAGAACATTGTACACTCTTGATTTGAATGAAATCCTCAAACTCCAAAAGCAGATATTAAGAGTTATTGAACCTGAAAATAAGCAAAGAACACTGAGGACTATGATATGGTTTTGGTTTGGTTGTTAAACCCTTACAAAGAAACGAAACATCAGCTGTATGGAATTAGTTTAGTTACAGAAACTAACCAATCACCGGCAATTTATCATCATCTGGTTAAAATGACTGTATTTTTTATTTAAACTTAACAAAAAAAGCAAGGCAATTTGTGTTTTCTGTCTTTTGTTTTTATTGTCTTTTGTTTTTATTTGTCTTTTGTTTTTATTGTCTTTTGTTTTTATTTGTCTTTTGTTTTTATTGTCTTTTGTTTTTATTTGTCTTTTGTTTTTATTTGTCTTTTGTTTTTATTGTCTTTTGTTTTTATTGTCTTTTGTTTTTATTGTCTTTTGTTTTTATTTGTCTTTTGTTTTTATTGTCTTTTGTTTTTATTTGTCTTGTTTTTATTGTCTTTTGTTTTTATTGTCTTTTGTTTTTATTGTCTTTTGTTTTTATTTGTCTTTTGTAAAGCACTTTGAATTGTAGCGTGCTGAAAGGTGCTATATAAATAAAATTGCCTTGTGTTTGGTAGATGATTTATATGTTGTAACAATGCTTTTTGGCAATACATCTTATACCGTTGGAAAGCCTGTTTTCTTACCTTTCCAATGCTACCACATTTGTGAGGAACACGCATTTGTGGGATGAGCAGCAGAGCCGAGTACGTGGGGTGCGCCCATGAACAATGTGACGATTGGAAAGCTAAGTAAACAGGCTTTCCAACGGTATAAGACGTATTGCCAAAAAGCATTGTTACACCATAGAAATCATCTTCCAAACACAAATAGCCTTGTGTTACGTTTATTTAAATATAAATGATTAGGATTAGAATATTGCGATATTAAAACGATGCAATGTCCGCTATCATAATATCAAGCATCTTATGTGCAGGGTAGCCACTCAATGATGAGGTAACCCTTAACATGGTGCTAACAGGTGTCTCTCAAGTGGTCACAACACACAGAAATGATGTGTTCTGTTCTTCATATTTCCCTAAGGCACAATGGCATGAGCTAATGGAAGTGTTGGTGGTTGGTTGTTCGATCCCAAGTCCTTGCTGTCAACATGTCGATGTGTCCTTGATGGATACTTGACCCCACATTTCTCACAATACAATGTGAATGTGTGAATGCAGACAACACGTTGTAGGGCAGCCTCTGTATGAATGTGTGTGAATGCTGACGAGTAAAAGCACTTTGAGGGGTCATAAAGCTCTATATATATATTGGTATTAGTGATTATTATTATTATCTCGGTGATAGTGAGACCTTCACAGCGACACAGAGGATGAAGACTTCAGTGGATAAATGCGACGTATACACCGAAGCGACTTATATATGGTTTTTTTTCTCTTAACGACGTTTTTTGACGAGCGACTTATACTCAGGTGCGACTTGTAGTCCGGAAAATACGGTACATTGCAACTTATTTTTTTTAGATTGTTTATGTCTGCACCACCAGATACCAAAGCAAATTCTTTGTATGTGTAAACGTACCTGGCAATAAACTTGATTCTGCTTCTGATTACATTCGGTTACATGATTGCAGAAAAGCACTCACCCTTTATGTGAGATGATCTTGAATCCATGAGCAACGAGCACACAGAAGCCCATGCTGGGCACATAGAGGACCCTCTCGGCCACCACGAAGCCCACAGGGAAGAAGAGGTTGGACGCAGGAATGAAAGGCAGGACGATGAAGGACAGGGCCTGAAGAACAAAGACAAATAATTACTTCACCGTATGAGCCATGTTAATTCAATGCATGTGATATTCAGCGTATGTCTTGCCTTTGCTAAAAGGAGGGGAGGCAACTATTTTAAATAACTATAGGCCAATCTCTAAATTGTCAGTTCTGGCGAAGGTGCTCGAACGCCTAGTGAGTGAACAGGTAAAGGAGTTTTTATGTAAAAATGACATCCTGTCTAAACATCAGTCAGGCTTCAGAAAGCAACACAGCACCATCACTGCCACAATGAAAGTGGTGAATGATATTACGAGTATTTTAGATAATAAGCAGAGTTGTGCAGCTCTATTTGTTGACCTTTCCAAAGCGTTTGACACCGTCGATCATCGCATCTTAAAGCAGAGGCTACTCAGTATCGGCATATCCAGCCATGCAGTGGGTTGGTTTGTGAACTACCTCTCTGAAAGGTCCCAATGTGTTCACTTTGATGGGCTGTCTTCTGAGTGGTTAAACATTGCTAATGGTGTTCCTCAAGGTTCTGTTTTAGGTCCACTTTTATTCTCCATATATATCAATAGTTTAGGTGAAAATGTGAATGAAGCTACTTTACATTTTAATGCCGATGATAGCGTGATGTACTGTGCAGGTCCCTCCATTCAGGAGGCTGGTGTTAAATTACAGGCTGTTTTAACATTATTCAGACTCAGCTCGCTGAACTTAAGCTTCTTTTAAATGTTGATAAAACCAAGGTAATGCTATTTACAAAAGCTAAAAAGACACCAGAGCCTGTTTTGGATATTGTTACTATGCAAGGACAAGTACTTGAAGTGGTTACCTGTTATAAATACCTGGGTATCTGGCTTGATGATTGTCTTACTTTTAAACCTCATGTCAATAACCTGCTTAAAAAGCTGAGGGTTAGACTAGGTTTCTTTTTCAGAAACAAGTCCTGTTTCTCATTTGAAGCCAGGAAAAGGCTCTGTGACCTTTTTACCTGTGCTGGGACTAGTGATTTGATCTATATGAATGCACCTGCCCATTGCCTGAACAAGTTAGATGCCGCCTATCACAGTGCCCTGATATTTGTTACTAACTATAAAGCACTTACTCATCACTGTACCCTGTATGCCAAGGCAGGTCTGCCTTCACTAACTGTACGGAGGCTCAGTCATTGGTACATGTTCATTTACAAAGCCATGTTGGGTAAACTACCTTTTTATATCTGCTCTCTGATCTCTCGACGAATTGAAAGTACTTATTGCCTGAGATCTCATGATGTGGTTTTATTAAATGTGCCAAGTGCTAGGACTGTCTTAGGGAAGAAAGCTTTTAGTTGTGCAGCTCCACTAACTTGGAACAGTCTGCAAACATGTTTCAAACTGAGCACTTTGGTTCCCCTGCATCACTTTAAAACTCAGCTGGCTGACATGCTGTTTGATACTCATGGTACCTGTCTCTGTAAATAGAGTTTGTAAACTGTACCCTGCACATTATGTTGTATGTCATCCTTATTGTTGTTCTGTTGTTGTTATGTTACATGTGTAACTAATGTGCTGCAGGTCACCCTTGAAAAAGAGATCTTTTGATCTCAAGGGGCTTCACCTGGTTAAATAAAGGCTACAAACAATGTGTTTACTACATGGTAAAGTTCAGAGATCTTGCTCAGAGGAATAATAGGCATACCACATTTTCAGTATTCAATTTTAAAAAGACGATAGATCATCACAGATTAGGGAACAAGCGTTCCTTGTGCTTTTTTCCATGAACAACCGTGCCTTTCACTGTTGTTTCTGATTAACCGCAACTATCTAACGGCAGTTTTTCCCAGGAAGCTACAGTGTTATGTGTGAAGTTTTCTTGAAAGACCAGTTCGCCACAAGCAGAAATACCACTGGCTAAATATCAGCATGATTCAAACAGTCATGTCTGGACTAGCTGTAAAAGGTGAAAATGATCTGTTGACGAATCAAGAACAAAAGTATTCAGTTTCTGTCCTTTATGACATTTCCCCAAACAATAGCTACAAGAAGCTGCTACCTGCAAAACAAACGGATGTTTCGTTGCATCAGTGATGAGCTACGTGCAGTGATCTATCCGTCTCAGATCTGTTATCCTAATACATAAATGTCTATATACTGTACCGCTGCTCATCCTCCTGCACAGGCTATAGTGTGAGTCAGTTGTTTTATATAGCATCAGTGCAATAAATATAAATATAAATCCATATATCATGCAGTGATCTGATCTGGGATGTGGGAGTTACGTGGTGAATATATGGGATACTGGCAGGGGAGGTGGTTGGCACTGAAAATGACCCGCATCCTAATAAATGATAGATTACATAGTTATTTTATTACGTATATTTGAAATATATATATGGAACGGAGAGGGGGTTTAGTTGTCTCCCACTCCAACAAGATGCTTTTTTTACTGCATGTGACGCATGTACGTAAGGCTTAAAACGGAATACTTTAGTATATAAAGTATTCTTTAAATTAAGCAGTCAATAGATACACTTTTAGAAAAACGAAATAACGAAAAAAAAGAGGAGGCTGGTGGCCAAGGAGACAAGGAGATGTTCCGATTCAGACGTTACTGATGCTGTAAGTGCAGGCAGGAGCAGACATTTCAGTCTCATAAACAATGCTGTACCAAAAACAAGCTGGGACGACATCACAAAACACTTCAGACGGTAGTCCTGAATAACACTGCTTGCCCTTAGGCATTAGCCCTGTTCCAAATCGACTCCTACGCACTCCGTCTGTAGTAACACTTACAACTATACATTAAAATATCATTTCAATCCACCTTTACTGACGTTTAGTGACAATTGTTTTCTTGTGAATTTGTTTTAATCTGATGTTTATGAGCTGCTTAGTTTTTGCAATGGTCTCTGTACAAAACTATAATCAAATGCAATGGGCTACCGTTCTCTAGACTTGATACGGTATACGATCGTCAGTAAAAAAACGATGTAACCTTGAAGTTAACATCAGTATGTCATCTCTTAATTTGCGCAGTTTAGGCTACTAGTTTATGTTTGCAATGAACCATTTGTAAACAGCGTGTTTTATGGCGGACATAAACGATGTAGTGCAGGTTGTTAGTGTTTAACTTCCAACACATGGTAGTTGAACACTTGGCGGACACAAGAAAAAGCACACGAAGTGAAAGTGTGTAGGCGTCGGTTTGGAACGAATAACAAAACGATTTTTATATGATAGAAAAAGAAAAACATAACCCCCAAAGACAAAACAAACTCAATGTGTGAAGCGAGCAAACAGGATCAACAGAGATAAATTGGATTCTATCCAACCTAATAAGCCTTGGCATGCCCAGAAATGTTGTAAAACACATCTCAGTAATGAGGTGCTGCTGAAAGATGAAGACAGCGTAGAGCACATGTGTCAAACTCAAGGCTCGGGGGCCAAATCAGGCCCTTGGTGGATTTAATTTCGGCCCGCAGGATAATTTCTAATTCCTATTATGGCGCGTTTCCACTGCAGCGGGTAGCCCCGTTTAAGCGTCCTTAACCGTCCTCAAGCGGCCAGGCCGGTTTTTGGTGGCCTTTCCATATAGCCTAGCACCGGCTAGCGGGTACTTTTTCCCTCTTTTTCCGGCCCCATAAAATCGTGGTTCCCTCAGACCAGGGCCAGGGCTGAACTAGTGACGTCAACACTCTCGACTGCTGATTGGTCAGAGAGAATCGTCACAAGATCGCGCGCGAGTTCATCCCTAGCGTCGCATATATATCTAGAAGCAAGCTTGCAGCATTTTTATAAACAGCATTTTGTAAACGGATGAGCTACAAAAATGGCTACGTCTAATAAGAAAAGCACACCGTGGTCGACCGAGGAGGTGACGACGTTCCTACATCTCATTGGGGATGATCAAATCCAGCGGGAGCTCGAGGGAACAACTCGAAATGTGAACAAAAACAAAGCCGATCGCCCCGCCTACACTGCGTTGCTACCCCAGGTCCTAAACTGTAATGGAAATGCGCCACGGCCTCGGACGGCCAGCGAGGCAGCCCGAGGCCTGAGCGAGGACGCTTAGGGACGCTTAAACGGGGCTACCCCGCTGCAGTGGAAACGCGCCATTAGATCTGGCCCGCCGGTATATTGCACACACACCTTCACTCCATCCTGAAGGTTTCCTCAGCTCAGAGCCTGAGCCCAAACATTGAGGAACTTCCTAAAACTAAATGAAGGAAAAACAGAAGTAATGGGTTTTGGTGGCACCACTTCTGTAGACCTGGGTTCCCTGGCTCAGTACACCATTACGAACCTTGGCATTCAAATGGACCCTGAACTAAAACTTGAGAGTCAGATTAAATCTGTGGTAAAAAAAAGCTTTTATCTCCTGAGGCAGCTAGCCAAAGTAAAACCTTTTCTCTCCAGACAGCGGTTTGAGACAGTAATCCACACCTTTGTCACCACTCGGCTGGATTACTGTAACTCTCTCTACATGGGGGTCAGTGGGTCCTCCCTCGCTCATCTGCAGCGGGTGCAAAATGCCGCAGCAAGGCTTTTAACTGGCAAACGGAAATATGACCACATTTCGCCCATTTTGGCTTTACTCCACTGGCTGCCAGTACATTTTAGGATTCATTTCAAAATCCTTTCGTTTACTTTTAAATCCCTAAATGGCATGACCCCACCATATCTTTCTGAGCTGCTACAACCCTACACGCCCACCCGCCCTCTCAGGTCAGCGGATCAACTGCTCCTGAATGTGCCCAGAACCAAGTCAAAGCTCAGAGGGGGCCGTTGCTTCTCTGTAGCGGCTCCCACACTGTGGAACGATCTGCCCCTGCACATCAGACAGGCCGCCACACTGCCTGCTTTTAAATCGCTTCTTAAAACCCACTTCTTCTCCTTAGCGTATGAACATCTTTTAGAGCGTTGTTTTTTAAATTGTCTATTGTTTTTACTTGTACTTGTTTTATGGTTTGTGAGCTGAGTTACTTTTTGTATGTTTTGTTTTGTTTATTTGCCTGTACAGCACTTTGGACTGGAAGTTT